GAGCAATGCCCACTCCAAGGAAATTGCCTGGCCTCTAACATCATCTATAAAGCAAAAGTGGAAAAGACCAACGAAGACGACCCTAAAGTTTACATCGGACTGACAGAGCCACCCTTCAAATCCAGATAATACAACCACACACAATCGTTCAAGAGGGAGAAACACCAACACAGCACCGAACTCTCCAGATACATATGGGAACTCAAAAAGAAAAATCAACCATTCACCATCTCTTGGTCTATCATCACCAAAGCCCAGGCATTCAACAACAAGACGAAACGATGCGACCTATGTATATCAGAGAAGCTTGCCATCAACGCGGGAAGGACGGGACTACTAAACAGAAGGTCAGAACTTGTATCGAAATGCCGCCACGAAAACAAGCACTACCTCCGAACAGCAACTCCGACGTCCGCAATAACCTAACTTCATACTACGTCCGCACAAGCAAGCACATCACCCCACAACGTTCACCTTTCATCAGTTGCCTGACGATCGCAATAGCGTGAAACTCCGAGTAGCAACATTCTGTTCCAGCGACCTCCAGTTCTATATATATATATATATATATAAAATATTGAAGGAAGTTAGCCGTTAACACTGCTGAATAAATATAATCCGTCTGCAGAAATTGGGATTCCTTCCAGTGGGTGCTTAGTTTATTTTGTCATTCTGATTGGATTTTTTTTTCCATGAATCCATAAATCTCAAAAAGAAGGGGGGGTTTTGATTCTTAGAAGGCGGGAAATGAGTTTTCCCGACTTCTGAGGTGTCTTTTAATTACTTTTAAGTTCTTTAAAACTCAAGGTTTTCCCCTCTTGAAAACGGTCAGGTAAATTTATCCCCTCTTGAAAACGGTCAGGTAAATTTATCCCATTGTTATTACAGTAGATAGGCCTTATGTGTGTATACATACATTTAAAAAAATGAGTAGTTGCATACAATTTTTTCCATGAATCCATAAATCTTAAAAAGGAAGGGGGGTCCGGAGGTTCGCCCAAAGAAAAATTTTGATTCTTAGAAGGTGGGAAATGAGTTTTCCCGAATTCTGAGGTGTCTTATTTTTAAGTTCTTTAAAATTCAAGGTTTTCCTCTCTTGAAAATTATTATAATGAATCAATGAACCAGAAGAGAAAAGGAAGGTTCGGGTTCTTCCTGGGAAAATGTTAATTTCTAAATGGTGGGAAATGAGCTTTCCCGGCTTCTGAAGTATCTTATAGCGATTTTAAAAATTCAAGGTTTCCTCTCTTGAAAACGGTCAGGTAATTTTTTCCCAAAATCCCAAAAAGTAAGGGGGTCGGGGGGTTTCTCCCCCGGGAAAATTTTGATTCCTAGAAGCGGGAAATGAGCTTTCCCGACTATGAGGTGTCTTTTAATTACTTCGAATTTCCTAAAAAATCAAAGTTTCCCCCCTCTTGAAAATGATTCAATAGAATCAATGAACCCCAAAGAAAAAACGGGTCCAGGTTCCCCCGGGAAAATATCGATTTCTAGAATGCGGGAAATGACCTTCCCTGACTTCTGAAATGTCTTTTAAATGACTTTTTAAGTTCAAAATTCAAAGTTTTCCCCTCTTGAAAATGGTCAGGTAAATTTTTCTCATTTTTTATTTTATGTGTGTACACATAGGCGTACATAAATAAATGAGTAGTTGCATGCGTATTCTTTTTTTCCATG